AATAAAACATTTAAACAGGAAAAAAAAAAGAATACATTTTTTACACAGGAACAGGAAACAGAGAGGTGGGACTAAACAGGGTATAAAAAGCCTAGCAAGCCCCTTCCTCGCCCCTTCTCTTCTTCTTCACCAACATTGAAGCATGTGATCACCTTTTCTGTTCAAGGCTCAAGCCATGTGGCCCTGTCCAACAATAAACCATCTTTCCAAGCAGCCTCCATATCTCCAGTGTCTTCTTCCCCACTTGGAGCTGAACCCAGAAGGACATTTCTTTCAACAAGGTGTTAGGTGTTAGATTTTAATTCAATTCCTCATAATGCTAGAACCCAAAACATATCAAGTCAGAAGTGGATAGTGTGAAAAGATCAGAATAAGAATAGCTGTTGTTGTTATGCAGATCAGTCCTAAATGTGAGAAGTAATGTTTATGTAAAAAGACAGACCTAGTGTAATAACAAGGCATGTATACATGACACTGGGCTGCAAACATCCAGGCAATTGTTACATGGCTGCAAAGAGATACTGAAAACTCTCTTAGCAGCCTAAATGTAAGCCTGCTAAAGATGTAAGATAATGTGAGTGGAGTAACTATAGAAAGTTTATATAGAAGGCTCTGTATAATTTAAGTTTATACAGGTACTCTTCCACTTACAACCAAAATTGAGCCCAAAATTTTCAATGTTAAGCAAGACAGATAAGTGAGTTTTGCCTCATTTTATGATCCTTCTTGCCACAGTTGTTAAGTGAATCACTACAGTTGTTAACTTAGTAAAATGGTTGTTAAGTGCACCTGGCTTCCTTATAGACTTTACTTGTCAGAAGGTCACAAAAAGTGATCACATGGCTCTAGGTCACTGCGACTGTCATAAATACATACCAGTGGCCGAGCATCTGAATTCTGATGGCATGGTCATGGGGATGCTGCAATGATTGTAAATGTGAATAACGGTCATAAGTCACTTTTTCAGTGCCATTGTAACTTCAGTCATTAAATGAATGATTTAATGGAAAGTCAAGGACTACTTGTAGTACTGCCTTTTGTTTGATTTCCTTCACTTATTTAATCCACAGGATCTATCTTTCCTGGGCAATAACATACCCTTTGAGTTAAAGGCAGGTAAGGTAAGGTAAAGGTAAAGGTTCCTCTTGCACATATGTGCTAGTTGTTCCTGACTCTAGAGGGCAGTGCTCATCTCCGTTTCAAAACCAAAGAGCCAGTGCTGTCCGAAGATGTCTCCGTGGTCATGTGGCCGGCATGGCTAAACACCAAAGGCGCATGGAGTACTGTTACCTTCCCACCAAAGGTGATTCCTATTTTTCTACTTGCATTTTTACATGCTTTTGAAGTGCTAGGCTAGGTAGGCAGAAACTGGGACAAGTAAGGGGAGTTCTCTCTGTTACACTGCACTAGGGATTCCAACTGCCGACCTCTCTGATCAACAAGTTCAGCGTCTTAGCCACTGAGCCACCACGTCCCACTAAAAGTAGATAGGTTGTACTAAAGGAGGCAAAATATATTGGAAAGTGTATTCAACTATTTTTTCCTGCTACAAGGAACTTTCCTCCTTTTTTTCTTTCTTAAAACACCAGAAATTCTTCATCTGGCCAAATTTCCGGGTGACCACGACCATTCAAGGAGAAGGGGGAAAAAAGGCAACATTTTCGGGCGTCCAGCACACTTACAGCTGAAAGTCACGGAGACCGCCAAAGCAGGTTACTAGGCAACCTGTTCAAGCTCGGCCCTTTCTTACCCTCCCACTTTCGAATTAGCCCGTACGGAACGCGTTTCACTTGATTTTGAGCCGTCTGAAGGCCCGTCGCTGCGATGCATTCTGGTCCTCGGCAATATGGCTGCCTCCTTGGTGTGCTGCTGAGGAGAATTTGGCTCTCCGGAACAGTTTCCTTCAGCTTCTCAAACCCCGCTACTTGGGGAACTTCTCCGCGAAGAGGAACTACCCGCTGCCCGAGTCGGGGAACATAATGGGTCGAATTGGGCGGCCGTCGCTGCAGCCGCGCAAAAAGCAGGCACCTCCGCGGGGGTAGGACGATTATTCCCCTCTGGCTGCACGCTGTCGGAAATGGGCCCAGGAGGGAGAGTCTGATCTCATCGCTTGGTCCGGAGTGATCCCCCGAGGGGTGATCTTGTCGGCGGCGAGCTGCTTTCCGAGGACAGATACAGCCAAGGCTGGAACAGAAAGAGGTGCCTACGGCCAAATCGTTCGTTCCTTTCGGAATTCATCCTTACCCCGTTGGCTAGTTTTGCCTCAAAACGGGAGATCAAAGTGCAAGCCTCTCCTTTGTAGCTGTGCCGGGCAAAGAATCCAGCGCTCGGATTCTTCAAACGCCTGAATCCAGATCGACTCACTGAAGTTCACAGTATATTCTGACATCCCATCAACAATTAAGAAAAGAAATCTTTTGTCTTAACGAGAGTATATGTTGAACTGCACTGCACTGCACAGCACAGTTGCTTGAGAAGCGATACATTTATCCGACTCTCCCAACTTGGACAACCCTGATTTCTCAACTTCTGCTTTTCCTGCGATTTCTCTAGAGTATGTAGAACAAGGCATCAGCTTTATTCTGAGCAAGAGAGCAAAGTGTGGTATCGCTGCAGCTTTTCTACTTTAGCTCTGATCCAAGTGCTCTGCTACAGAGCTACATAGAAAGCCATGTTTTCTATCTAAAATACTTTTAGACCGATCATATCAAAACTTCGTTTCAAGTGTGCATTGTCTGATAGTATTCTAAACTAAATCATTGTATTGTGGGCAGGAACTTTTTTCAATAAAAAGAGTTATCTGTGATCACCCTATATCTCTTGAATATTGAGATAATATCCTGTTTCTGAAGAGGGATATAAAAAGATCCATGTGCACATCTGTGATCATTGTTTCAACTAGACAACAATAGATCATTGACTACTAGATAGTTTCCCCTTGAATAGTGATTACATTACTCCCTGAGATTACCCATTCTGCACAGGAATTTCCCAGATGCTGCACTAGGAACATTGTCATACAATTTAACAGTAACATTCATACATCTATTTTGAAAAAAAAAGCATAAAACATAGAGTTAAACAACTAACATAGTGTCTTGTTATCCAGTTAAAACATTTCCTTGGAGTAGTGATTTTTCCCCTCTACTGGTTACACTGATCTCTACTCTTCTTGATGGAGTCTGATATGCTGCAGTCACCCCTTCTGGGCCTTGGGGAGGAAGATGAGTCGGACATGACGGACTGGAATTTGCCTTTGGCCTTTATGAAGAAGAGGCACTGTGAGAAAATTGAGGGCTCCAAATCACTGGCTCAGAGTTGGCGGATGAAAGACCGGGTAATGATCTCTAGCAGAAGCTTTTATTTGGAACAAAATAAATTTGGGGTATACACCTTGTCCTTAGTGAAGTCACACAGTTTTTCTAACCATGGGATTTCTTTAATCTTTAATCTTGAAAATTTGTTAAATTGCTACAGTGCATGCTAATAAACAAATCATGAATGCAGTTAATATAGATTTAAGTAGTGGTACTTTCTTTTAAATAATAAATATATTTAATAATTTGATAATTTACTGTTTGGAAAATTACCTGGATGGAGAATAATCGGTGAATGTATGTCAAGAAGTTTGCATTTCTGATAAACCTCATTGCTTTATTTTGTTAACTGTATATTGAACACCATATTGTGAAAATCTTTTGAAAATGTTTCACTTCTCATCCAAGAAGTTTCTTCAGCTCTGACAGAATGGTGAGAAATGGAAGGATTTATATTCTTTGCAGACAGCTATTACTTTGCACAGTAATATGTAGTGCTCCTCAGGTGACCTTGAGCACAAATAAACATTTAAATCCTTCAACAACCAGTCTAAATGGATGCAAATTACCAGCTGTCTGCAAGGAATATAAATCCTTTCATTCCCCACTATTCTGTCAGAGTTGAAGAAGCTTCTTGGATGAGAAGCAAAACATCCTCAAAAGAAAGTCCAGTTGCCTCCTGAAAAAGCACCTTTGGAACAACTATGACCTGGATGACTGAGAATCTCTACAGACTTTTACAGTTTGCATGTTAACTCTTATGGCATATTTATTTTATTTTTATTATTTATTTATTTAAGATAATTTATATGGCTGCTAAACTCTCAGTGATTCCAGGTGGCTTACAGAGATAAAAAATCTCATATAAAAGCAATAAAAAGCAATACCCCCACCCTCCTGGCAATAACAGTCAAATAAACCATTTGATGGGCTCCAACCACTTGATGGGTTCTTTTAGGTCCATTGTCAGGTCTTAAGGTCTTGTAAAAGAATGTCAAAGTGAGGGCCAATCTTATTTCTGTGGGGATGATGTTCCACAGGGAGGGAACTATTACAGAGAAGGCTCTTCTTGGTCCTACTAGAGGTGCCTCCTCAGAAGAGTGGACCCACAGATTTCCTTGCCTCCTCACTCTGGTTAGGTCAGACAGATGTGACTGGGAGAAGATGATTCTTAAATGCTTCTTTGGGAAGTTGAAATATCAGCTAACCAGTCAAAACATCCAACAGTAGTTTAAAATTAGATCAATAAGATAAGTTTATCAGTGATGTAACTTTGGGCTTTATGTTTCTGTTTGGAATGATGTGACAATTAACTGGCCGACTAGGATTACAGTCTCATAAAGATACACGCATACTTGGGTTTTTCCCCCTGGGTCCTATGTTTTCTGTTTAATCACAGAAAGCAAATGGTAATGCTGACAAGACAATATTTTGTCTCTTTTTTCAAATATAATCTAGTCCTTCACTAGTGTCAGATAGTAGTTGATTACATTATTGTACAAATGCCTAGTATGCCCTCTTTTTTGGTGTAGCAATACTATGCAAATGGGCAGTAATAGAGTGAATTAGAACTACTTTGAATATAGCAAAATCTGCCTTATATTGTGGCCCAAGTACAGCTTGCCATTGCTAATACAATAGCAAGGGACCTTACAGCAGTTTTGCAGTGAGTGCTCAGGACAGATCAGAGTAGCAGAGAATTTGGCTCTATAATCCAGAGGCATTGCCTAGCTATAACTATTGCTTATTTAATTTTATATGCTATTTCTCAATTATTTGTTGCCATGCTGCTTACGAGGTGATATTTATTTTTAAATTTGTGTTTGCTAAACTTAATTTTAGCAAGATGTGAATGAATTTAAGTAGTTTCATTTTGTCCTTCCATGTTCTTCCTTCCTCTCTCCTCTCCCATCTCACAGTGAAGGGTAGGGGATAGGAAATGTATATTTATCTTCCTGTTAAAGAAAAGACACACATCTTCTTTTGTAGTCTGAGCTAGTGTACTTTAATAAGTTTCAAATGAGCTTTTAGCTATCTGTATTCATGATTAGCTACAATTCCAATTGTGGATAACATAGCCAGCAGTGCTTAATCAAAACCAAAAGTGAATATTTCTCAATTCCTTCCTATTACAATAGAAAGATGGGGAGAATCCACATATTCTGGAAGAGACTTCGTTTATACATATGCATACACCTCTTAATAAATATTCAAATAGAGTCAGGTCATGACCTACATCCTCTGCGTATTTTATTTAAACATTCCATTCCAGCAAGTGGGATTTACTTTTGAGAAAATATCTTTGGGATCAGATGAGAGAAATGATATAACAGTGTCTTTGACTCCTTTTGTGCAGTCACCATTTCAACTATGTAGCAGCAATACTGCATGACACCCCACAAATCTCCTCATCTTCCTCTTCTTGAGTTGGATGGTATTCCTTCCAGCTATCCAGTAGTGCAGCTGTAGAAACAGCAACTAAACATTACCCCACCACGTTATCTTTTCTAGCTATGTTTGGTTTTTGAGGTAAGAAAGAGACACAACGGGTCAGGCAGGCATTATAGCACCTTAATCCCAAAAGGGAAGGGGAAATCAGGATGAGATGGGAATGTCTGTCAATGGGCAGCTGTTCATCCTGCAGTATCACTGATTATCCTTTGGACTAGGAGCTGAACTGATTAATTTCTGAAGTTGATTGAGCACAAGAAACCACATGGCATGCAGAGATATATAAGGGCCTTTCATCATTATAGATGAGATACATGCTTAAAATTTTGCTAATACAGTCCTTGACTTACGACGATTCATTTAGTGTGTGTTCAAAGTTATAATACACTGAAAAAAATGACTTACCAGTTTTCACACTTATGACAGCTGCAGCATCCGCATGGTCATGTGATCAAAATACAATTGCTTGCAACTTGATATGCATTTGTAAGAGTTACACTGCCCAGGGTCATGCGATCACCATTTGTAACCTTCCCAGGTGATTTCTGACAAACTCAAGGAGGGAAGCCAGTTTCAATTAAAACAGCTGATTCACTGAGCAACTGGGAAGAAAGGTTGTAAAATTGAGCAAAACTCACTTAACAATTATCTTGTTTAGCAGTGGAAATTTTAGGCTCAGTTGGGGTCATATATCGTGGACTATCTGTAAATTTTAGTAAAAAGAAAATTGGAGCTATTTGAATTTTTCAATGTCTTACTGGTTGTGAGAAAATGTATATTTAAAGTAGCTCAGTAATAAATCTGACTAATTGTAATATAATTACTAGCAGAATTCTGTAATGTCATAAAGGGTTTGTTTTTCCCAGCATGATCCATGGCATTTGTAGGCTATCAAAATGAAATTCCTTTGATCTATTATTCATTCAAAGTTTTTTTTTATAGACAGGAATTGTGCTTTGAATGTAGAATTAAATCTCAGCTCTGCTAGCTCATTAAAACTAGAGTCCTGAATGTGTTGGATTTTAATTTACAAATGGCTATTGAAATAAGAATTGAGCCACATTTACTCTGATTTCTAAAGAATATGGGAAAGAAAAATCTGTTTACAATCTTTTTATTTTAACAATTTTTTTCTTGTTCCTTCGTTATCCACTGAAGGTTACCCAGATAAATGAGGTGTTTTGATAAACAAAACCAGCTAGAAATTGAAATTTCTTAAGCAAATATAAGTAGTCCTCAACTTACAGTAGTTCATTTAGTGACCATTCAAAGTTATAACGGCACTGAAAAACTGACTTATGACCATTTTTTACATTTACAACCATTGCAGCATCTTGATCACATGATCAAAATTCAGATACTTGGCAACTGGTTCATATTTATGACGGTTGCAGTGTCCTGCGGTGATGTGCTCCCCTTTGGCAACCTTCTGACTAGCAAAGTCAATGGGGAAGCCAGATTCACTTAACAACCATGTTACTAACTTAACAGCTGCAATGATTCAGTTAATAACTGTGGCAAGAAATGTCATAAAATAGGGCAAAACTCATTTAACAAATATTTCATTTAGTAACAGAGGTTTTGGACTCAGTTGTGGTCGTAACTCAAGAGCTACCTGTAATATACTTCCAATGGAAAGCAAAACTATGAAAATGATTATAAGTAATAAAACCTTTATTTAAATGACACACAGTTTTTCTGTATTAATGAATAGATTTATTGGCAATTTGAAAAAATTCAGGTAGAAAATTATGATTATTGCTTGGTATTACAATCAGTGCTTCTAATTTGGTTTTAGTGGTTGAGAAGGAAGGATGCTGTTTTTGCTATATTTTGTAGTAGGATTGCATATACTTAAGTTTGATTGAGTGGGGAAAGTTTGCTTTAAAGCAGTGCTAAGGAAAAAACCCAACTACTTTTCCACTTCACTGCATTCATACTTTAAGGAATTGAATGCACAGCCATCTTCTTTTCATTGGTCCTTCTCCTTTCTCCTTTATCCCGATTAACTCTGTGGAGAAGATCAGGCAGCGATAAGAACAGGAACTGCGATGTATATGAAAGAAACCTGTGAATAAATTGTCAGTATATTTATTTCTTCTTATAAAGGAATTTAAATGTTTGAAAGCATACTTAGTTCAGACCCTAAGGGTAAGGTTGAGACAAGGGTAAATAACATGGAAAAGTAGTATAAGCTTTGATATAAGGTTATAGGTGCTAATCTGCAAGAAAGTGCCTGCAATGTATTTACAGTTATTAAGAAAAAAAACATTTTCAAATACTTGCTTTAATTGTGAAAGCATCTTAAATAAAATAGGATTCAGTAAAGTATGGTAAACATTACTCAAATTATGGAACGCATCACTGAGGAAAGTTTGGATGGCCTCTGTTCTGTTTTGTTTTAAATGGCATTTGAAGATATGTGTCTGCACCTTTCTCAGTTGGGAGGAGAAAGGTTATGTTAACTGCTGAATGCAATATATTAATGCTTCTTCAGTTTGTTCCCCTCACAGAATGTGTCTTTACTCATTTTTTACTAGTTTACTCATATTTAACTCTATTCATGCTT